ATATGATTAATATTTTTTTAAGTTCTAGATAACAAAAATGGATGCGCAACTTATTCAATCATATCATAAACAATAATCTTCGAAAAATATGTAACGCATTTACTGATTAATGCGTTTTATAATACACTTATCATTGCAAAAAAACATAGAGATTGATGCGATATATGTTATATATAAGCGGGTTCATAACATAATCTATTCAACGTTATAATCAAGAGATTTCGTATATAGACAAGGTTTATAAATGCATCAATGTATTACATTAGACAGAATATTTGTCAATGTTCTTCGTCATTAACGAATCATAATATGTTAGAAAAAAATTTAAACCTTAGGAGAAAATATTATAAGGTTTCTAAACGATTAATCGAATAAGAGATTAAAAACCAAGAAATCAATTCAATCAGAAGTAAAATATTTAAAATAAAATATATAAGATAGGACATATTATAATCATAACGATTATGAAGANACGTTAAACTTTTTTTAAATTCAAAATTCGTTGACAAAAACGAACAAAACGAATAATCGCCTATATTCTGCGTAGATTAAGAAATGCAACGAAAAAAAGGGTTATGTGCCATTATCTCTGTATTATTCATATTTCTTATCTTTTCTAATTCGTTCTAACAAGTTTGTTTAAGATAACATATGCTAATAAAAACCTTCTCAAGAATAACTGCCATTAATTTTATTTTAAGTTAAATCTTATATTGGTTCTATTTTGATCGGATTATGATAATCTGTCTATAAATGCTGCATACGACTGAATATCGATGCGGCGTCAGAATCCAAACGAGGAATAGAAAAATTGATTAATAGAGAAGAATGATGAAACACTATTGATCGATTATAGTAATGGGTTATAATCGTACCTAATTTCAGTGACAAAACAGCGATCTAAAAATATACCGAATTCAGAAAAAATCAAAAGATCAGAAAAAAATCAGAAGCATGTTCAAAATTCAAAAATTTTCCCTAGTTTTCAGACGATCTGGTCACCCTGGCAGAAGTCGATTAGTGATTCGCTCCCCTATCTCGTTTATCTAGAAAATTGAGTCTACCCTAGAGAGAAATCGTTCCGCCGCCTATGGGGGTACCCTCCTCCAAGCCCCCCGGTCGCGCCGCCGCTGAAGCAAAAACAAAATCATTTATATCAATAATATTAGCGTGTCATTTTGAACTTCATATTGAACAAAATAACTAAATAAAGAAAAAAATATATATATATATTAGAGGATACTTACTTTTAAGTTCTTTATTGCAATTTTTCTAAATAAAAAAAAAGAATTATTGATATAAATGATACTTACATTATATACTCAAGTTCATTTAGAACTAAATCTAAATAATGAAATAAGTAACACTGGTTAGTGAAATTAGCGTCCTCTATAATTCGATACAATGTTTTTAGAAATAATCGTTAAGATGCTTGTCCAAAAGTAACGCCGTTACGTTTTTGACACACTGTTCTTCAATTAACTCTGAAGGTTTAACAGCTAGAAAGTTCATTCAAACGCCATTCGACACAGCTTATCAAACTCTATTTATGCTATAAGAACGACCTTTTTCGGTTGAAATCTCAAAGGTCTAGAAAGGTTTTATTATCGCGTAACGCTGTTACATAAAAAGACTCTTTTTTTCCAGTACCACCGAGAAAACTGTAATTTCTAGCGAAACTATTTCTCCAAAGAAAAACTTTCCAGAGTCAGTTTTGCACAGCATCGAACAAGCTTTTAGGCAGTAAAAAAGATTTTTCCTAAAGCATTTTTGCTCAGATGAAAAATGCAAAATACAAATGTAACGCTGTTACGTTTTTCGTAACGATGTTACATAGTTTTTTGTGAACCAGTTTTGAGGCACTTAACATGTTTAGAATGGTTTGCTTTTTACAAATGTTACTCATTTACGTGTAGATAATCTTCTACATAAGAATGAGATTGATACATCGTTCCGTGACCTCATAAACCGGACAGTAAGTTGGAAACTGTGTTAGAGTGTAAAATTTGTCTTTACTTACAAAAGTCAAAACTAAATAGGTCATTTTGTAGAAAATTAAATTCTGTATCGAATGGTACGTGTCTTCATATTTTTTCAAAACTTTTTTTTGGTAAAAAAATTCAAAATATGATTTTTCACAAGTTTAAAGCCCGGTTTTTTATTCTAAAACCTAACTTTTTTACAAAATAAGTGTCAAATTCATAATCAGCGTTAAAAACTGCATCTAGTAATTCATTCAGATTTGTCCAACTCGAAAAAAATTTTTTTCGAAACTTGATCAGCGAAGTGTCGCGTTACGTGGACAAGCCGTAAGACAAACGCATTCGATGCATTACTCACTATATTAAAATAGTTTTAACTTGCAAATAAGTGGAATCTGTCGCTTGACTACTATATTTTTGAAACTATTATTTTTGTAACACTCGAAAAATATAACATATGCATAGTTCTTGGCGTATCTACTTACAAGTCGGAATATGATTCATGTAACTGAATACAGCAACTGCTTTAGTCATGTTACCTGGATATAAAGTAGCATCTAATAGTTTTGAATTATTTAACATAGAAAACATTTCATTCCATTAATTTCTGGAGAAAATAAACGAATATGTTCTAGTACATAAATATTAGAATAAAAACCAGTTAGTATTTTCCAAATTCTATCAAAATATATTCAATTAGATGACTGTGTTTACTTACTCGAAGTATATAGATAATACAACGATATTGATCTTGTGCTAGCAATTCCAGTGAGAATTTGGAAGCTGGAACGGAATTTTTTTTCGCACTTAAAATTGTCTTTTCGAAAGGCATGATAGTTAATATGATGGCTCAACAGGTTAATTTTTCAGTACTTATAGTTTTTAAAATCGTGTTTAATTTGAAATCTCTTTTTTTTCAAGATTGGAAGGAAAACATTTCCGTCGATGAATTAAAAATATTTAATCTCACATTTAAGTCAATTCTTTCACATATTATAGAGCCGTAGAATGCATATAAAATATTTCATTAATTTGATAAATTTAATATTATTCCAGTCTATTTTTTATAACAACATCGAAAATAAAATAGTAAAGTAATACAAAGGAACATTAGCTCCTATTAAATATTTAGTAACGGCAATGTTTTCTTGTTGGGATTTCATTAGTAGAAGCACGTATTTTTGCATCAACTAAAGAAGCAAAACCATCTTGATAGTCATCATCAATACTATAATCAACTGTGATGAACTTCTTCTTTCTATTATTACTTTACAAAGGTCTAATAGAAAAACATTTTTTAAAGAAATGCAGAATAATAAACGCTTTTCATGAAAGAGTAGAACAATAAACCCTTTTCATGAAAGGGCAGAACAATAAACCTTTGACCGTAGAATAATAAACCCTTCTCCTTAAATTCTGGTGCAATAAACCTTTTTTATTTTCAAATACCCTTAGTTTCGTAAACCCTTTTAGGGTTTCGGACAAAATTATAAATCCTTTAAGGGTTTAGGAAACTTTTCCACTAGTACTAGGGTTTAGTATTCTACGTTTTTTTTACAGTGTACACCCACACCCTCATGTGAATTGACGTGATTCATCATTGATAACGATTATTATTTTTGCGTTCCACGTGCTGTATCATCGCTATTACTCAACATCAATTTCATTTCAACTTAATAGACTATTCTTTTCGAAAAATGTACGGAGGTCCGAAAGTGATGGTTTATTAAGCAAAAAAAAAATTTCAAAAACCCCCCAAATTAACCATCAACGCTAATGACCTCCTTTTTTTGTCCTTTATTTTATACCATATATCATATATTTTTGCTTCTTAATTTTGAATTCAAATCAGATCTGCGGCTATATTCGTACAGAAACCTTTTCAAGATGAATTTTACGTTTATAGACAATGTTCTTTTGTTAAGAGACGGTCCACACGAAAATCGAACATGGCCATACTCTCGAAAATTTTGACCCCTATATTTTATGATTGGAAATGAAAGAACAAGGTGAGAAACCTACAAATCCAAAATTTTAGCTCATTCTAGCTTACCTCTAAAAGGTTATGAAATACACACTGAAGGCACCATCAACAGGTTTTGAGGATGCGGGTGTTAATGTGTTTAAATTGAAAGAAATTCCAAGCAAACTTACAACCGGTTTCGCTCTTGCTTAAGGGACTCATCAGGCAAACTCGGAATTTCAATTTACTGCATAAGATTAAGTTAAATGAAAGCGAAAAAGAGCATAGAATATAGCTGGCCGAGTAGTGTGAATAGGTGCGAGAAGGCATGAGATGAGTTTGGTGTTGTTATGAGAATTTTATTGGTTTATTTGTGTTTTCATGGAGTTTTACGAGTTCTCAGTAAGTTTTTTGGAAGTGAAATGAAGTCTCATGAGTTTGAAAGCTGGGTGTGGGTGAGTGTGGATGTCAATAAGTACATCGCAAAAATCCACACCCACACCCACATCCCGATATCACACCATCATTCAATTCCTATCGACACTATCGATTGTCGGCAGAGATATCTGTACAATTGTTTCTTTTTTTGTCTTGAGGTAAAACTCACAAATGTCTTGTTTATTCATCGTAGTTAAAAATTAAAATAAAAAAGATCATACGCGTAGCTTTTCATTAGATGAACCTATCGTTTTGTCAAGTATCATTTTCTTGGCAGGTTGATTCATGTTGGAATACCAAGTTCTTGCATTAACTCTTTCAGTATTATTATTAGTGGTAATATTCCAGTCAGATATTTGCTGATTATCAGTATTTTTGTAATCATTTATAATTGTTGTTGGTTGATATTTTTCTATATAATTAAGAATACAATATGTATGCTCGAGTAAAAATGTCTTCATCAACTTCAAACTTTTGTAAATCAATTTCAGATATGTCACCAGACCAAAGATCGATACGTTCAATATATAATTGCAGAGGCATTTTTAGATCAATATAAGCATTAAGTACTCGAATCATTAATCTTTTCAGTACACCTATCCATACAATTGGTGATTTCAATGCTGGTGGAATGTTATCTTTACCAAAAGTTTGAGCAACAATTTTTTTTTACCTTGATCATCCAGTTCTGCTTCACGTAATTCTGCTTTGACATTTTTACGAAGTACAATATCAAAAGCTACTTCTTCTATTAATTCATACAAAGAAATTATATGAATGAGTAAAATTGTTGAAAATGGTGGACGCCGAAATATATCTTCATTGAGACATGCACTAGTATTCATATGTTCTTCAACAAAGTTTTCTATGTTCATTTCTGATAAATCATCATCAATATTGCATAGATATGTAAACACATTATCTAAAAAGCCTAGACAATGGACAATATTATAATGATCCATTCGAACAAGTAAACTTTTGAATTTTGCTCGATCAACTAAAGATAATAATGTTTGAGGAATTCGTCGTCGAATATTGGTAATAAGAGAAATATTTTCATTATATAATTCAAATTGATAATTGAACATAGGTATATTATCTGCATCAAATAAACAAAGACTACTAACAAGATTTCGCATTTCTGTTTCAATTTCTTCATAATCATAAATAAGATCACGTCCTTGACCATATTCATAATTGATAACAAAACTATCTTTGACTAATTTATTGATTAGTTCAGATTCTCCAAGCTGAAGTAAATGTTCGGGTCGAATTGCATTGAGAAAAACACGCGTATTTGGTGTTGTTTCGTTGATAACGACTTTTCGAAAGTACGTAACGATCTCATTTTGTAATTCAGCTAATGTATGTATACATGCAATTAATAAAAAACTACTGTCATCTTTCGATTTATTTAATAAAACACAAGCTAAACTTGTTTTGTTAGCAAATTCTTCACGAGGATATGGTCGAATGAATTTAGGTGCTTGACATCCAAAACGAAAACTAGACAGATTGATTTTGTACCAAGCATCAATGAATTGATCGCAAAGAACACGCATATTTTGATTATCAAAATCTTCTTTTTGAAGTGTGTCTTCAATTGTCATAGTAGCAGCGTTATTTCGTTGAATTCGATGATTGTATTTATGAATAAGATATTTTGAAAATTCCATAATTGGATATAAATATCGAATATTGGAATATTCATCAAGACGTTTTAATAAAAACGTCGTCAAAGGACACATCTTGTCACCGAAAGGTAAAGTTTGCATTTTTACACGAAATTCTTCAAGTGGATTCGTTGTTAGAATTCGGTTTGCATTAAAATATGAAAGTAATGGATAACGTTCATCATTTTGTCGTAATTCATCAATATAGTTACTCAATGAAATCTCTGCATCAAATTTTTGAACAAAATCAATGTATGCCGCACGATAAATTCCTACTTCATTAATAATTGAGTCAACATGAGGAAAAATTATTTGTTGTTCAATTAATTGTTCGACTTTGATTACGTTTTCGTTTGTATTTAGAATACCAATAATATCAATATTTTTATTAAGCATGTGATTAATGAGTTTGAATAACCATATATGATATTGTTCGGGTTCAATCGATACTCCTTCCATAAACTCACAATCTCTGTCAAAATGTTGACAAAAATGTAAAATATTCGGTACTTTTAATCTTTGAAGAAGATCATCATCACTTAAATATTTCAATTCATGCAAAACAAGTAATTGTGCATGAGCCCACATATGAAGAAATCTAAAAGAAACAATTCGATTCAAATGATCAGGTTTTTCATCAGGCGTTAGCTCGATAGTAGATGTAACATTATGATAACCTAATCTTAATACACTATTATAATTTTTCATATATTGTTCTATTTCTCTAAAGCCATCTTGCAGATTCATCTGAATTTGTGGTGGATTCCGTTGAATCAACTGATTATATCCAGAAGCACCAATATCTTTTTTACAAAGCGGACATTGTCGACGATCATTTGGAATTCCACAATCTTCAAAATAAAACATCCAATGACATTCACGAGAGCATTGAAAAACGAACATGCCACCAGGATGAATCATATGCTTATTAAGACGATCTTGTATTTGTGTTCTGACATCGATCATTTGTCTTATTACTGGATCACTACTTATCATACCCATTAAACATATAGATTGAATGTGATTAAGATAGTTTTGAGGCATATGTTGATTTTGATCAATAGTAATGTTCCAAAATATGTTGTTTTTGGACAGGTTTTTGTTGATAAACATAAGACTACGATGTTTAACGCAATTAAACGACAATAGAATGCTTTTTTCGACATATTAGGTTGTAAATAGAAGTAGGATCCATCAGAAAAATTACAACATAGAGATGCAAGTAGATTAAATCCAATTGGTTCAAAAGAATCTATTAATAATTGTTTCAAATCAACAGAAAAGACTTGTATGAATCGTTGATCTTTCTGTATGTTTGGTGTAAGATAACGACAATAGTATTGAATAAACCATAAGTAAAATCCATATGCCAATTCTTGATTAGTTCGACAATTTTTAATCAGAGTTCGAACTTTATCGATATTATCAAAATTATTAAGAGTTTCATTGATATTTAAATATTCATTATGTCCTTCAAATAAAGGCAATGGTAGAATAAGATCACGATTTGTAGCCAATGGTTCAATACGTGTTATTAATGGTCGTAACCAAACAACGTTACGATGAACAAATAAGTCTCGTACATCTGTTAATGTTACATTCTTCGACATATGTACAAGTTGTTTGAGAATAAATAACTTAAGTGTAGCACCAAATATACTCTCATCTCGAGCTAAAAAACGATCGATATTCGACATAATATCTTCATGTGAATCATTATGAAGAACGAATGCATATATTTGTGTATAATATTTAAGCCATGTAATTAGACCTATTAATCGAACATGATGTCGTTCATTACCAAGATGTTCATTCACCTCGTGCATATTTCTTTCAAAGAATCTGTAATCTTTTCTTAGAATATTTTCAAAATCATTTTCATTTATCGGTAGAATCAAATTAGTATGAAGATGATTGACTAAAAGTAATTGAATTTTACATGATTGATCGGATAACTTTGTAAAAAATTTCTCAAGTTTTTTAAATTTTCCATTCTCTACTGGTATCTGACCATGATAATTCTCTATGTTTTCTATTAAATCCAGACGTCGATTAATATATAAGAAGATCTTAGATGAATATCGCCATAGATCAGTATCATTATGATTAATCACTGTAAGAACATCACTATATTGATTACCATGATCGATCAACCAATTTTTTAATAACTCACACTCAAGTTTGAGAATTGTACGTTGAATAGTAGTTTTGTCTGCTTTTATATGATTTTCTGCTGTTTCTATAATGTTTGTTAATCTTTCAATGAATCTATGAATTAAATTACATGAATCAAAATTAGTGGCATCATCCTCGACATATATCTGTTTGATAATTTTGGCAGAGAATTGATTGTCGAAAAGAGTAGTTATTGATCGAATTAGACTTATATGTGAACTAAATCTGTCTAGATTATCAACTACATAGTTTTTCAATGTTCGAATACCATGATAAATAAGATCGTATTTAGTTATCAATTGTTTAGGAGATTCAACATTTCGTACGTATTTTGGTTTCTGAAGTTTTTTAAGTAGATTCATAAGACTATTTTCAATAAATAGATCACGATTATCATTTGAATTACTTTTCAAATGTTGTTCATCATTACATGGTTCGAGTTGAACAAAACCTTCTTTAGAAAGTATTAATGTATACAAATCATTCTTATTGTTTGCATCAACACGATATTGATCATCAATTACAATAAATTGTCTCATACATGTTTTTAATAAAGAATTTTCATCAATTAAAGAAGTTCCAAGTTCGAAAATTCGAAATATTTGAATAATTTCTTCCCAATTTGTTAATAATGATTGAAAACGTGTTTTGTTTGAACGAGTTGGATTAGTACAAATTATTTTAAATACAAAATTACTCGTCAATTGAATATTATTTTCATTGAGAAAAGAACACAATAAATCGTTAAAGTAATGTTCAAATAATTTGTCGTTCTCGAAAATTTTGAAAATTATTTTTTTTCCGTAGATTGTTTTCTCATTCAGTTTTAACCATAATCTTTGTTCAAAATCTCCTACAGTTATGTCGTTTTCTGACTGTTGTTTTGATAAGATCTTACATATACCTCGTATAACTGTATATTCAATCATCGCACATGGAAGTCGTAAATCGAAAACCAAAGATATTTCAACATTATTCAAATTCATGACATTTTCATCGATATTCTTTAAGCTTGAAGTTAAAGAAGTATCCCAAATTCCTTTTAGTAATTCTTGTTCATTTTCATCTTGTTTTCGAATGAATTGATAAGAATCAAAGAAATTATATCGTTCTAAATGTGCAAACAAGAGTATAAAATACGCTTCATAAAATCGAACTATTGTAGCTTTGAAAGCTTCGTTTAAAGAGCGACATGTTGCAATAATGAGTCCATTATTTAAAAGATCTTTTCGCCAATCTGAAAATCGTTTATCATCTTGATCGCGATATATCTTTTTTATGAGTAAAAATAATTTATCTCGAATCAAAACTCGAAGTTCTGATCGGTTATCTTGTATAAGACAATCAGTAATAATATTTCGTCGTTGATTGATTCTTGATTCTAGTTGATTGTTAGCTACTTCATATCGAAGTTTCGATAAAGTTCGATTAACAAGTTCATTAAATAGATCTTCAGACAACTGAAATGGTTCTTGAACAATCAGATCGTAATACGATGAATTCATTAGGTTTTCAATTGAAATAGGATTGTATGCATTAAGATCGTCTATCATATCGACTTGCCAACCATGAAACAATACATTATTTTTTGCCTCGCCAAGCATATTGCGTTGTAAATGAATAACAAGCCAAACACAATGATCAGATGGTTCTTTAGATTCATCATCAATTGCATTGATTAAAATATGTTTAAGAAAAAGAAGTTGTTTATATTCTGTGAGATAATCAACACGTATAATCAAAATACGTGGACCGTCTTGTTTTAAAAAGTGTGATTTTATTTTATTTATTACTTCGAGTTCTGTTTGCAAATTATTTAATTTGATTTCATTAACAATATTCGAATCGTAAATGATTGTATCATAAATTTGTGTATAAGTATAAATAATCTGTTTTTTAGAAACACTACAAATTATTGTGGCAAATGGAGTCGATCTTGATGTAGAATGTAAACTTTTTCCTCGATGTTGAGGAAATACATCGGCAAATGATTTTCGTTTATGAAGTTCATAATATTGTTGAATAAGCAATTGATTTTTCTCGTCATCAGTCGTTTGAGTAACAAGAACAAGTGGTAAATCAAATGAAGTACAGCGCAGTATTTTAATTTTACATGCTTCTATCACTTTTTGTTGATCTATATTTTCACCTACACATTGTTCTTCACTAGTATCAATTACTAAATTACATATATAATCAGGATTGTAACCGATAAACAAATGTTGAAGGCATGGAAAGCATACATTATCTCCCGATGGCAAAAGATCAGTTAACCAGCTGAGAAGACTTTGAGTTATTTGCCAATGAATAGGTTGTACTAGATCTTGAATATCTATCATATGTTTTTCGAATCGATTGAGAAATGGTGGATCACACTTTTCAATCTCATCTTGATTAACAAATACAATACAGAAAAAATTATCATTCACAAGACATCGTGGATGATAAAGAGCACCAAGTGCAATTCGACAATATTGTTTTTTTTGCAGAAATTGCATAATTCTGATTAAATAAATCATATAAATTATCATGAAGATGACCTAATTGTCGCATAAGTAATGTTACATTTGTCTCAACATGAAGAATAATATCCATAAGTACTCTATAACTATAAGTTTCAGTATAAATTTTATTCAAGATAAGATCACCTGGCATTTGACTACCGGTTAATGTTCGAATGGGATGTTCATATGTTGGTAACCATTTTGTTATCGAATGAAGATATCGTTCAACATAATCATATGAACTTTCACTTTTACCAATTAACATTAAAAAACGACCTGATTGTATTTTAATACGACGATTGAGAAGATCTCGAAAAGTTGGTATTGGATATTTTTCTATAAGTTCAGTATGATTAAGACTCTGACAAAAGACTTTCCACATAAAATCTGATCCATCAATAATACCATCGAAATTTATTTTCATTTGTCGATGTATAATAGCAAATAGATCTTCATCAATACTATTCATAGCATTATTTGCTTCATTAAGAACACCTTTAACCAAAGAATAGAAATCACGTAGACCAAAGTAATATTCATTATGTTGCTGATTTTTAAGAGTAACAAATAATTGATGATAGGCTTTAGCGAGACCATCCAGAATTGAATCTAAGTTAGGTATTACTAATTGTCCAGATAACATACCATCTGCAATTGATTTAGCGGTTATTTTCAGATCATTAATATCTGGATCGGGACAATTTATGTACAGTACTCGATTCATTTTTGATGCATCTAATCGCCAATTTGATATACCAACAAAACCATATTGACATGTTTCAACTTCGAGTTCAGCATGAAGAACTTTCAATGGATTGTGTGGTGAAAGTTCAGCTAGACCAATTTCATCGAAAACTATTACTGGTAAAAGTTGACTTTCTGATTGAGCTTTTTGATATTTTCCAGCTCGTTCAAATACTTTTTCAATACTACCAGATGTACAATTTTGTGAACCTTGATATGAAACTGTAATAAGTTCGGGTAATATTTGAAAATATGAACTCCTAGATTTTTTTCCATTAAGATTACTAATAACAATTTGAACAGCTGATGTTTTACTACAACCTGGTTTTCCACATAGTACTACAGGAATTCGATTAACAATGCATACAAGAAGAACAAAAAGATTTTCGCGCAAAGCTCGATTTTTAGCTGTACCTCTCGGTAGTTCCATTTCTTCTATCAACTTATTTTCTTCGACTTCAAGCTGTTTTATAAGAAAGCGTTTTTCCATTAATACGAAAGAAAAAGATTCTGATAAACTTGTTCAAGCATATCGACATAATCATATTTAAGTTGAATAGAAGGTAATCGAAAATAATAACATAAAAAGAGAGCTGCAAAAGCAGCTCGTCGAGCAACGTTTTGTGATAGAAGAGATTGATTTATAGAACGTACGTTAATTGATTCATGAAACCAATTGTATAAACGACAGAATCGAGCTACATCTCTTAAACTAACACTACTAACATCTTCAATTTTACGAATGAATTGTTGTGATCGAGATAAGAGTTGAATAAATGCATTAAATAATTGTTCATGTTTTACTAACGAAGGACATGTTTTAAGCATTGTTCGAATATATGTTTGTTCGGTATCTTGATCGAGATATCCATAATCCCATATATATTCTAACATTGTCTCTGGAATAGGTACTACCGTATATAATAGACATTGGCCATCGGAGAGTTTTTTCATCATTTCATATCGATCTTTTTTTATCCCAATATTATTTTCAAATGACATCCATTTTTCATTACTCTTATATCGACGTGGATTACATGCACCAAGAAAGACCATATTATCTGGTAATGAATCACCTAAAAGTGTACGTTCACATGTTATCTCTTTGAGTAATTCAATACTAGATGTTGTATTAAATTCATCGAAGAATATCCAAAGACGTTTTTCTTCCTCTATACATTCTGTAGCTTTGACTATTAATCGTTTCATTGTCTCAATAATCTTTTCATTCGTTACTCCAGCATGAATTCGAAATATTTCTAGTTCATCATCAAGAATTTTTTGACACAAAAATTTAATCAATGCTGTCTTACCACAACCTAAAAAATTATAAAAAATGATATTATTTTATTTACATTTTACGAAGTTTATATTTCATTGATCAATATCAAATATTTAGCTAAATTGTATTCTTATTTTTAAGATAAAAAATTGTTTTTCTGTTTTTCCGTCTCTTACCAGTGACTATGATCATATGTATCCTTAGGGTAAAATAAAATTAATAGCTTCTCTTTAAGATATTTCTAAATCATCAAGTATTTTTTGAAAATTTCTCACATTGGTTTATATTGCAAATTTCTAATTTGATTGTCGTGAGAGTTCTTCTCATATATGTTAGAAACATAGATTTATCAAACAAAATTTCAAATACAAAAATAAAAGAATGTTACCATGAAAAAAATTTTTATTGCTCGATTATTTTCATAGAAAATTATTAACCCATTTGCCGTAATATGAATATTGCTTTCTCATAATTCGTAAAAGGTTTCATTTCTTTATTTGTAGCAAGTATATTAACTACTTCAACACAACTTTTATTGACGTTTCTCTTATCAATATAAACTTTGAACAATTTCCTATCAACGGTAAAAAGAAGAAAGTCAACCCCTTTGATCAAAGTATGGAAGAGATATTTAATTTTTTCTGCGTTAAGTGAACTTTTGAACCACTCTATAGTGTGACCGACCGGTAGGTGGTTAACGTTGGCACGAAAGGGTTAAGTACATCTGTGAAGAAAAAAATATTACAAGAGATTTACCTGTTTCTCCCATAATTAATACTGGAAGACCACTTTGTATACGCATATAAATCAATAGCATTTTGACATAATTATCTGGTGTGAGAACATATTCGGCTTCGAGTAAAGTAGCGATATTTGTTTGAAATACTAAAACATCACAATTATCGAAAGTTGCTGGTTTAACAATACTTTCGTTTGTATGACAATATGTACATTGTTGTGTTTTGTATTCATACTGTTTAAAACATTTAGTGCATATAGCTTTATTGAAATATTTGCGAGATAATGAAGCAAGCTTGTGAAAGAATTCAACATGTGAAAATTTATTGTAATCAAAAAGTAGATCATCAACAGTAGGATTGAATAGTGCATTATTGTCAGCAGTTTTTCGAGTCGATTGTTGAGAAACAACTTGTTGAAAATCATTGAAATAATTTCTGAGTGATTCTGGTATATCATGAGTTGTTTTATAAACAAATAAAGGATCATGAGTTGCTGTAAAAACAAGTGTAAATGGTTGTGTATTCTCCCAGCGAACAATTGCATCAGTTAATTCTGGTTGTTGAACTTCTGAATCTTGTCGTAAACTTGCGCGTTGTTGTATACGCACTTTTTCTACAGATACTGATGTAAATTGATCTGAAGAACGTAAAAGTGCTTGAAGAATATCGAGTCGTAATTGAGGTTGGTTCGAAACTTCAACAAGAAAGTAACCACAAATAGAAAATCCCTTAAAGAGAGAATAAAATACTGCAATAAAAACAGATAATTGTGTCCATGTAATAAATTCAAGATTTTTTCCTTGAATAAAATGTTTTTGAATTAATGCCCTACAGACTGCACGATCAATTTGCTTTTTATCATCTAATGTAATATTTTCTTTTGTAATTGTACCTGTATTAATCGCATGTAAATTATTAGCAACAAATTGAATCATTGGTCTATTACAATCGAGTTCGTCCCAGTTTACTTCATTAAGATAAATCGAGGGAAGATATTGACATAATATAAGACGTTGATCTATATTAATGTAAGGAGATGAGGCAAGTTCAATATAAATTAATGTTTCGATGGGAACATGTGCAGCTGATTGACCAAAACAAAAGCTACGAAAAAGTATCAAACAATATAATAATTCATCGAGATCATTAATATTTTCAATATGTCCGATATCAAGATGTAGAATTGATGTTCGCAATGATTTATCATATAAAATTCCAAGTCGATTGGCTATTTCATCCGCTTTAATATCGCCACCAATTGGAAATTTAATAAGTTGTTTATTTAGATGAATGCTTTCTTTCTTGATAAATTGTGATTTACCTAAACCAGATAGGCGAGATGTGACTATTGTACATTGATGAATCATATTCTGTACTTGAGAAGTAAGGTCATCTTTACTTAAAAGCTTTTGATCATGTACTATATTGATATTAATTCGAGTTTTAATTGCATTAACTAATTGTATATGAGAAGCAGTTCTTGTTGTAATTATTCCTAATTGAAAAGAATGTATGGGATGATCTTCAATTAAATTATTAAGCAATGGAAGAAATTTATCTTGAATTATTAATGGAAGTAAATCTGGTCGAATAAGTATTTGATATTTATGAGAAAAGAAACATCGATAAACAAATGCACGAATTTCCATCCATGTTGTTTGTTTCGTACAATAGAATAGCTGATGAGCATGAATCGATTTCTTAATCATATCAAATAATGAAAAAGCTGCTCGTAAAATTCCTTCATCGGTCGTTTCAACAAGTCGTACCTAAAGAACATGAATGTAGATGGTTTCTTGTAAGTATCAATAATAATAGCACACAATAGCGTTGACACGAGAAAATGTCCAACTGATGAATCTTTTTGAATTCAGAGTAATAACTTGGCAATCAAAACGAAGTTTTCTTGATGTTCTAGACAGTAATCTCATAGCATTGTAATAAGTGCCATTAAAATAAAGTATTTTACAAGTAATAAACTAATAGTTAAAACTTTTTTCAGGATATAAGTAACTCATTAGGATCTACATGATGTAGGTATTCCAAACTCAAAAAAAAAAGAAAATAAATTTCACATTTTGAAATTTTTCTTCCATCATATAATTTTTCAAGCAAAAAAGATGGAACATCTTCAAGATTTGACTGGTCGAATGCTAAAGTTATAATAACTCCATATCATTTCCGTTGGAGAAAATGAATGGATCAGGATTTTGGTCACTCATTATGAGCGTTAAATCAATCAACATCTTTTTTAGTCTTCTAGATTACTTAGGAAATTTTCTATACAGTTTTGTCCCAACAATATCTCGGTCAAGCTCGAAGATGAGAATGATTAGTCGAGTCATTCCTGAGTTATTGCAAAAATAGTCATTTTTTACTATGCGAAGATCGACCTATCCTCATTTTCGTAAAAAACATTTCCTATCATAGTCAAATAAAACTCCAATTATTATATACCATTCGATAGAGCATTGCGCGAGCTACAAAATGCTATATAAACCATCAAGAAACAAGAAGGCTAACTCATCTATTACAAAGAGAATGAAACGGAAATTGATTCTGTTTTTGTCTACGCTCTAATTGATCCACAATTAGAGCTCTATCTTCCGATCACAGAGATGATAGCTCGAGGTTTTCTGGGGTGGAAAACTCGAATCTGTATCCACTTGTCACGAAATCCTATTGGTTGAGCAGTAGCCAATAGAAATCAAGTGTTTATAGAAAAGGTTTTCCAGGATAATTTTTATGTCCACACATTCTAGGATGACTCATCTGTCTCATTCACTTTTTAAAGTACACATAACTCTCGGATTTAAATCCGAGGTTTCCACATTTATTATACTATTAGGTACGATCTTCATAAAGCAGAATAAATTATATCTTTGCATGTACCGAATATTTCTTGGTTTTGTTATAGTTCTTTCTCGAGGATGTTCTCATTATGTGTCATAGGGTACGCTTTTATTCAAAATCCATGTTTATAAAACAAACAATTTTCTACGAAATGAGATGTCGTTGAAGTTTCTACGACGTATAATTCAATCTTTATTACAGTTTTACGAAAAGTCTTAAAACTAAGACTCAATCTTGATCCTATCAGGGCCTTTAGTAAAGGTGTAATAAAAATTGAATCATACGTCGCACAAACTTCACTGACGTCTCATCATGATTAACCATTATTTTTATGAAAAAGTGCAAAGTTTCATTTTCAGTCTTGGTATATGTCTGAATGCATCAAGATTCATTGTTTAGAATAGAGCATAAAAGGTCTGTCATGATAGGTTTTCATCAAGTACGAAGAAACTTGATCTTACTGGATGGCATTTTAAAAGTTTCATAATATTTCAGCTATGTATCAATTATCAAAAAATAAAAGAATAGATGAACTATGCAGTTCTTGTTTGTTATTTATCACTTTTGTTTCAAGCTAGATTTTCTATAAATAATATTGTCGCTAACTGTAAAATTCTAACAAGACAATACTATTGACGTATGACCATAAAAAAATAACAATTAAAGATTGTTTCTCTATAGTTGTTTATTGCTTTTCGAATTAAAAGAACAATAATTCAAAAATGAATGATTATGTTTCTAAACTTAATAAATGTATTGATCTCATTGAACTATATGATAAAGCAAAAATACTTACAGTAGGAATAAAAGAATCTTCTAGTATTTCTTCAAGATCATCAGATATAGATCGTTGTGTTTTCAAAATTTTACCCAAGTTTTCTAAACGTTCATTTTCATCTTTAGATTTTGGTGGCAAATTTATTTGTTGAAGTAAATCAGGCTCAAATCCAATATACTTAAGTAGATGATATCCAGGATGTTTTTCTTCTATTTTGACATTGTAAATGAAACTTTCCACCATTTGAAATTGTTCATATGAGAAATAAGTTAATTCGGGATAGATTTGATACATTACACATAATTGTTGTTCCCATAGTTCAAGCTTTTCTTCAAGAGTTTTGTATAATTGACGAAGATTATCATAATTACCTTCATTACATGTAACATCTTGATTATAAATTATGTCTGTGACTGTTGGAAAACCCGCTGTGTAGAGAGACGAAAGATTTTTTAATATACCTTCGATAACACCAACTAATTCGACAAAGGATTCTAATTTTTGAATTTCTAAATAATGATCTTGATTTTTATTGTGTGTATTTGAATATCCAATTAATCGAGCTCGATCACGTAATTCACTCAAATCGTCAAAAGTAAGATTTTTTGATTTTATCTGCACATCAAATAAACGTTCTGAACTAGGATTTTTGATAAAATGCAATAATGAATGTGACATTATGTCCATAATACATCGTCGTTTTGATTGTTCTTTATTTGTAAGTTCAAGATAGAGATGTTTGATACCCGCAACAGATTGAGAACAATCAAAACGACGATGTATTATGGACATAATGTCACATTNATTTTTTCTATTCATTGACTAGTACACCTTACACATTTCTCAGACGACTAGATTCCTTCGGATTTAGGTCCGAGACAATTCCAATGATATATAAATAAAGATTTCAACTTTCAGTTTCGAATCGCTAGAGTGAAAATACAAAAATTATTAGTCCAGACTAATTTTTTGGGCTCTTTTCTTTATAGATTATTTCTCTACTCTCGAAGAAAAGTTCAGATAAAATTTCTAAGTTCGAGCAAAAAGTCATAATTTTTGACTCATTGGAAATACTTTCTAGAGAACCGAAAATGAACAAACATCTTGTCTAAAAACTTTCTGACAACGCGTTATTAAATGTATATTGAGAGTTTTTGGAAAGAAAACGAACATATAGCTTATTGTACTATTCTATCCTCTTACTTTTTTGCACGATTGTTACATAATGATTGATATCTGATTTTGTTGCTATTATTATTATTATCATAGCATCGTATGAAAACACTTCTGTCATAATTAATCGGTAGGTGCTTTCGTGTTGATATCGACGTATTATAATAAAAATGACCATAAGTCATATTTGTTGTTTTATATCTTTCTGATGGACAACAAATACAAGCAAAACACATATGTGAGGAATTATTTTCACACATAGGAGTATATATTGTTTTGTAAAGTTGTTGTAGTGGACGATAACAGTTCGATGTACGATAATTATTTAACTTGTTATTTATCCAGATGTTATTACAATTATTATAAGAATGTGTTGTACTACATGGATCAGTATAGTTACATATTGGCAAACAATTATTAGTAGAATGATATGTAAACATAATTGTACATCGAGATCGAAGAAAGAAAAAAATGATGTAAACAATCAAAATTAAGTTTTTTGTTCGAAAAAAAAAACAAATGATGAAATAAATGGATGGAAGGCGCTCAACTATTTCTCTCGAATGTATGTATTTATCAAATAATTTTGAAGTTTTTTTGTAATAGTCATCCATTTAAATTACATATGTTAATCAAAGATCTATATACATGTTCTACTTATTTCACGATCTATTTACAAATATGTCTTGAACACAGTAGCGTTTCAAAAAAATAGTTTATTTCTTGTAATATCACATTGTAAACTAAAAGGTAAATTTATTCCAACTTGCTTTTCGTTTTCTTGTGTGAGAAATTATTTTCCATTGATTATTTGGAAGCAGAGGAATGAGAAATATTTGCAACAATTAATGGATTGTCAAAACAAAATTCCAATACATTTTTCAAACTTAATATAACATAATGTACTATTAATTATTTGGAAGGTCGATATTCTCGTATGAAAAGACATGACAAAAGTCTCCGCGTCGAACATTTACATTGTGATTAATTTACCACAAAAAAAAAACAATGGTTAGCATCGATTGCCAGAATACAAGATGACATGGCGAGTTCCAACTTCAAAAAGTCGGGAACATAAAATCATAACAGATGAATGTTTAATGAAATTATGGAAGCCTTATATGATGAAGGCCGTATTGATATTCCAGCACTCATAAAGACTACTGAATTGAGATATTTTCAACATTCATCAAAAACTTAAACAGCTATCTCTGTTTGTTGTTGGTTCATATATTTATTGGAATTCGTTTTCTATTCTGACAATACATTGAATGTTATAATGACTACTCCATGTCTCTTCTTCCATATAATCAATAGAAAGTAAATCGTGTAAACTATTTAGAGAGAAGATGAAATGAAGAAGTTTATAAAATAAGATGATCGATTAATAACAAATCATTATTATCTTTGAAATAATACCATTGAATAGAAAACGATATTAGTTAGAGTAATGTGATAGAATTAAAACTCAAAACAATATTAAGAGTATTTATAATAATGTGATATGGCAAATAACTAAACCTTGTGAAGTATGTGTAACGTCTGTTGAAGAGTCAATTTTTAATCAATTATTCGTAATGTACTGAGTCTTTGTAAATCAGTTTATCGATGTGGGGAATAGATTAACTAATACTACATCTGCTTTCTTACTCATAATATGTTCTAGCAAAGAGAGTTGTGAATTTAACTTTTGTTTTAGAAAATGCTTTGAGTATATTTCAAAAGTATCATATATATATAAATTTTAATAGGAATTTTCAATAGTTTTGATTCAATTCTTAAATCGTATGCTTGTTCGATGTAGCTATAATTAGTTTGAATGAGTGCAAGGTTAAAAAAGACGATCGGAAAATCAAAATCTATTAGCTATAAATAAATCAATGTTTACTGGGTTCAAGTTAATAAAGTTTTTGTTTTGATTCAGTTCAACCGTTATTTAAAGATGAATAAATGTGAAATGAAAAACAATGTTCTTGAATAATATGCAAAGCAGCATGCACTCTTGCAATAGAATACATTTATAAGATTATCAATAGTTGTATTTGAAATTTTATGTCACATAAAATTTTTACGAATTAATATTTTCAAGAATATTTTATTCTCCTGAACAGTAACTTCTTGTGCTCTATATAATTATGATTAATAGAACGCCTGATGTCTTATCTTTATATTTTCTGAATGTGGATGGTACATACATGAATATCTTTCTCATTTGTACCTATCGAGTATTCATTCATCACATCCACATAGGAATCTTTTTCCTTTCTTGTCAAATCAATCTTACATCACAATGGTTTTTAGCTCGATGTAAGCTTATTTTATGATATTATATGGACGATTTGCTTGAACGATGTGTTCGACCTAACTATGTCAAGTCTTCATATTCTTTTTAAAATTCTTTAAGCATACAATGTTTCTATTGACAACGTTCAATATATATCATACCGTCTTGTGTAAATCTATTAAATATGAATTTCCACTTCAAGAATTCAAAGTAGTCTTCACTCCACTTCGAAGATGTATGATTAAATGTATTGTGGAATTTTCCTACTTATTTCAAAATCAAACAAATTTCAATCATTTCCTAATTGTATTCCAGCAAAGCTACAACATATTTCATTCAGTTGCATATTTACTGTTTCTTGTGTTACTTGTACTCGTAAATAATTATATTTTAGTTAACATCGAGTATAACAGTTGTATCTGTGTGAGCTTGCATAAATATTTTATGTTGTATGACCTTGATAATTATTTTTTTTCCTAATCTTTGAGACTGAATTATTGAAATGACAAATATGATGCCTGCCAGATCGTACAAACATGTTATATGATGATAATGAGACAGAGAAACCTTGTTTGTTAAATGGAGAAAGCCGTCAAGTATAACTAAAAAAAATACTAATTATCAGCGACATTACGGATACTAGAAGATGTTAATCGTTTTGTGGATTCATTACTAATATTTTTAGATCTTAATTGTTGTTAATATACATTTTGGATTCTGTTAAATACATCAGAATAACACTAGAACAAAAATAAACCATTAAGCAATCAAGTTGCTGACATTAACTTATTTCAATGATACTCAATGAACATTTTCTATATGACCATGTATGGAAAATGTGATACTCTTTTACGCTAGAATAATGCTATATAATCACAAAACGCTTAGTAGTGCTCAAAATTCAAAGGTTTTTTGAAAATGATAAACATTAAAAATATAGAAAAGGAGTGTTTAGGTTACCTTCAACACATTGTTCATATTAAATGTTTAGGTCACTGAAAGTGAAAAAAAATTCAATTTCTTTTTTATAGGGAAATATTGTCTGAAAAAATGAATAAGATAAAGAGATAAATCTGATCAAAATAGCCTTAGAAACACCCTTAATCTCCTAATGAACCATAGCTACATGAAGCAATTGATTTTGTCAGTAATCAATTTAAACAAGAAAGTTAACTTATTGCAATCATATTTGATTAAAACAGCATGAAGAAATACTAAAAGAAACAAAGATAAATAACTCATCATTGTAGAAGAGTCTGATTTGAGACTATAGCATACATATCTATTTACTAGAATGCCAATTTCATCAGTACAGTTCTTTAAAGTAAGCATTCTATCGTTCATTTATAAATAGACATTGATATCAGTTGTTTTTTTTAATTTTTTGCGAAAAATTTAACATTATGGGAACCTAAAAATGTTGTCATTAAGTTATGAGAACAAACATAGGTAGTTAATCATTGACTATAATAAAAATATGAGTAAAATCAAGTGTTTTATAACATACACTTAAAAAGAAGACTGTTGATTTTGCATGTTTTGACTTTTCTATACGGAATTTTTCTATTGAAAATTCTGTCCCAAGATCATTGTTAAGCCTTTATAAATGTATGTATTGTTGATGGCATAAACCTGTTATAAACAAAAACTCTCGCTTAAACTAGTTTACTTTTTTTGATGCGCTTAAAGTTCTCAAGGTGTTTTCACATACAGATATTTCAAACAAAAAACTTCTGTTATTAAGACTTTTAAGAAGTATCTAACTGAAACAAAATATTACTCAAATAGTTCCGTTTTTTATCTACAGTATTCAAATATTTAGATGTCTTTCAATCAAGTTAAATCATTTATTTTCTTACATAAACTATAATAAGATTTAACTTCTTTACTCATAATAACAATAGTTTATATTAAATTGAATATAAAAGTGAACTAATGCCATCTATCAGTGTGATAGGACTATGGTATGTTCATGTTCCAATCCATATCTTTCTTTGTTTGTCAAGTAATATTCATTAGATTAAGCATCTTTATTTATTTTTGTTTATTATTGCTTATTCTGAAAACTCAATCTATTTTATTATTAAATATTTTTGGTTATTATGGGTACAAATGCTGAATTTAATCTTCGATTTACGAAAAAGATGATTGAAAAAGAAGCATCTGCAGCTGAGAAAAAATATGAAGCAAGTCGAAAGAAAGCATTAGGTGCATTAAAAAAATCTGGTGATGTTGAAACAGCTCGTATTTATGCTGAAACAGCAATTCAAAATCGAACAGCACATAATCAATTTCTTATAATGGCTTCACGAATTGACAGTGTTATTGCTAAAGTAAAATATTTCTTTTTAAAAATTTCTAGAAAAATAGTTTCGTTTTTTTTTTGTATTTCTATAGGTTCAACAAGCAAATGCTCAAAGTATTATGGTTAAAAATATGAAACAAGTTAATAAAATGTTGGAACATGTTAATAAAGATATGAATTCAGCTGAATTAGCTAAAGTTATGGAAAAATTTGAACAAGTAAAAATCATTTTATTTGACGCAAAAAAACAATTTTTCATTTATTTTATCTTTTAATTAGGCATTTGAAGATTTTGATGTTAAAGAGCAAGTTATGAGTAATGCAATGAATCAAGCCATGGCAACAAGTACACCTACTGAAGCTGTACAAGATCTTTTACGTCAAATAGCTGATGAAAATAATTTGGATATTCGTGCTCAACTTGATGCTATTCCAACAGTTCAACATTCAATAGCAACACCAGCACGACAAGAAGTTGCTGCACAAAGTAGTCGTTTGGCTGCTCTTCGTCATGCAACATAATACTTGTTTTTGTTTTTTGTTTATTATATACTTAATATATTTATTTTCTTTCATTTACAATTATCCTGTTTTATAATACCTTTAGAAAATGATCAACTATTTTGACTATAACATATTCACTTGAAGTATTTAAGTAAAGTGTATTTTTTTTGTATAGAAGTGCAAATAAGTTTATGTCCGTTTTTTTGTTGTATAGGACTTTAAATAATCTCAGAAAAGTATTAAAAAATAAAAAACAGAAAAAGATAAAAGTAATGGAAGTGACTTTTTTTTATATATAAAATTATAGTCTTACCTTTCTAAGGTGCGAGCGTGGATTTCGCCTTCATTGTCATACCTAGACCATACAATTAGAGAGCAGGTAGACTCCTGTAGAGTAGGGATAGAATAGAAAGCTAGGGTTTGACTCATATTACTAAGAAAATTTTCGACAATACTGTTATCTTTCTATTTTAGAAGACTATGCACATGGATATCATAGTGTGAAAAGATTTAATCAGAGAGATCGCATAAATCAGAAAACAATGATGTGGATTTCTCCTTATGCTATCGAGTAAAAGTCGGTGCATATGTACAGCAATGTTTGTTAAATGATCTCAACAAATTATCGATGAGATGAACAAAGATGCGTTACATACATTGAAAGAAAGGAATTTTACTACGACAAAAGAAGCTGTTTCATCATCGAATGGTAAATTCTGGTTGAACCTCTTGAGAATTCAGAATTCAAATGATCTGTGGACATTTGAAGTCTACCACCTATGTAGTATATATTAACATATCTTGTCATACGACTTGATTAAATGCAAGCAATTCTCTTCGGCAACATGTTCAAAATTGTCTCCAGAAAATGATAGCTTCAAAATCTATCATGTCAATTGAAAAGTATTGGAAAATGATGTTGCTCTGTCATCGGATGATAAGCCAATGATTCCATTCTCTTGTTTCAGATTCTATGCGTCTGATATGCGTTCATTTAATATTGGGAATGGGAATGATCGTTTGCCCCTATGCAAAGCAGAGACTTAAACGAGTCAAAAATCTCACTCAACTCGGTTCTGATCTATGTCAATTCACCGCATAGATATGTGTAAAGAAGCGGCAGCGACTAATTGGCTGGTGACAAATAAGTCTTATATTATCCATACCAACCAGAGGGTTAAAATAGGTCAAAAAAATTAAAAATTGACAGTTAGCGAAATCAGGAAATCAGCTGATAAGGTAAGAACAAGCTTTACTCTGTAGGACTCTAGAGCTATCTATATTGGACAAGATCTTTTTAATCTTATTGTTTTAAATCAAGAAAAATAACATCTTCTTACTCAGTTTTTGATGGTTTTATAAAGTTTGAATAAAAAGAACGCAATTGAAACTTGAAAATATCTATGAAAAAAGGAAGTAGATCAATGCAAATGCTACGTGTTCATTAATTCGGATTTTTTACGATTTTCGTTAACTAAACACTGGTAGAGTCGCAATACAAAGTGTAAATTCGTAACCAATTCGTAAAGGTCTATCAAATCATAAACAAAAGAACGAGAAAAAATCCACTCAAATTTTGCATTCTCCGCCTCTGATTTATACATTTCTCGCTCTTTTGTATGCAATAAAATGTCTTCATTTCATTGTTCAGGAAGCTCAAAATAAACTTTTTTCCTTTATTTTTTTTCTTTCGACCAAACTAATTCTATTTGAATGAAAGAACAACTATAATGTGGTACTTTTACTTCGGTAACAGTCGATCTCAATCTTAGAATATATTGAGTGAGTTTCTAGGACACTTTGACTATTACTTCGACGATTAGAATTACTACTATGACTAGCAACATTGATTGAATAAATCTTCGGCTGACTCATTCTCGCTTAAAACTTGCTTAAAAACTTTTTACTATTATTCTGAAAGTTAAAAAAGAGGCTGATGTATTCAAAATAAAAAAAGCCAAACCTTGAAAACTTGGCATACGTAAGCAATAAATTGTGTCTAATTCATGTGTTATATTTACTAGTCAAACAGAAAAAAACAAAAGCAAAGAATTGAATGATGGTAGAGGAAGAATATTTGCTCTTATTGGTTCTTTATTTCTGTATGATTTTGGCTGCATTTCTTTAGCTTACATGTCTGACGCACCTGTTTTCATTCTTGCTGTTTGCCTTCGCGTCTCTTAGTCATACATCATGAATTTCTCATTTTATTTTGTTTATTCTTCTATCTTTCTAGTTGACTTTAGATTTCACACTGTGTATCATATCTTAATTCTATAAAATTTTCACTCGACATTTTATACGATAGTTTTACAAATTTTATAGAACTCTTTCTTATAGTGATTGGTAAGAAGTTTTTAAAATTTGTATTTACTCAAATAGTGGCGGCGCCAGGGATGGGCTCAGCCCATCCAGAACTTAATTGAGCCCACACTGGAAAGTTTTGGGTATCGATAGTTTGAAGACAGTTTTTTTGTTTGAAAAAGTCCAGGGTGGGCTCAGTCCACCCTGACGGAAAATTCTGGCGCCGCTACTATACTCAAAGTTATTTATAAGTTCTTTCGCCATAAATCTTGAATAGTCTTGTCTCAAATTATCAATTCAATATTAAAAAAATATTCAAAAAGAAAAGAATATTAATTTACCTATATGTGTATTTATTTTCTAATGAATCATCTTTCTTGATGATTCACAAACAATATGCAATGTCGCCATAAAGGTTTTTTCAAGTTTGACTTGTTTTTTTCCCAGTAAACTTTCTTATCTGATCAATAAACATAATATGACACATCGTCATAGTTACATTCTTAAAGGAGCACGAAAAAAAGGCAATATTGACAAACAGAAAAACACTTTTTTTTTGCCTTACCTCTACGTAAAACAAAAGCATGTGAGTGTCATCCAATAGAGGAGCAGAGAAGGTCAAATAAAGTTTTTTTCTATTTTTGCTATAATAGATTTTAACTATTAAAAGTTTGTTATAAAATGGCGAATCCATTTTCATCTTATCGTCTTATAAAAGCTGAACAAATTATTAAATCAAATATTCGTTCTAATAAAGTCTGTATTTGTTAATTTTAAAAATTTACCATTAAAATATATTCCTGCTTGTTTTATTATAGACTAAAGATGATCTAAGTGATCTAATTAGAAGTTTGTCTCCTCTTAAACTTATATCATCATCAAACCTACCCGAAGGATCATCTCTTAATCCAGATATAGTTAAAACACTTGCGGAAAAAGTTTGTTCGATTTTATTATTGACACAAGTTTATTTATATAATTATTTTATTTTCAGGCTAAAACATTAGATCTATTGGAGGTTCTTGGCTATATTCATCAAAATAGAGATGAATATGTATATAAATCACCTAAATCAGATTACGAACACGAGCGTCGTCTTAATGGTGTGAATGAATTTCATAGATTTTTTAATGACCTCAAAAGTGCCAAAAATGGTACTTTAAATGGTTTTGAAGAATTTATTCATGTATTATTATTTATTAGAATAGAAATTTTTTTAAATTCTATTTGTTCTGTGGTTTTGTATTTAGAATTCCAAAAGGTATTCTTACACGGACAATAATAGTGAATGTAAGTATTTCCATAAAGTCAATTTATTTTTTCGATCGTCATACAAACGAAAAGCTTGCCTTTACGAAGACCTTACGGCAAAAATGATGCACTATATCTTTCCGCTTGGGACGAACAAAAGTTTAGAGCAGTTGTATTGTTGAGTTTTCTTCTCGATAGTAATAGCTAAGAATCTGAAAGAATATTTGAGTAGCTGAAAGGATTCTCTATCAGGATTTGTGGACCTAAAACCTCCAACAAAACAGCTTGAATGACGATGTCTGGAAAATTAAGATGTTCTAAAACTAGTTTTCTGGCATCTATTCGAAGATTTTTAGACACGGTTTTATTTAATAGTGCAATATGAGATGTCTCTGCTCTCTTCATGATGTTCCTTCATCGAAAGGCATTCACTGTGTAGACAACCCGAAATTTGTTTTTATGAGAAATTGCAATAATTTCATCGTGTTTGACGTTTTGAGGCGTCCTCTAAATTGAACACAGTTCGGTGAAGGAAGGCATGAAGATAGCCAAGAAATCTAATATTGTTCTATTAAATAAAACAATCTCCAAAAAGCTTTAGATGGATGTCAGAAGATTTTTTTGGGATTCTGGATTTTTAAGACATCCTCACCCAAGCAGGCTTATCCGAGTTTTTAGGTATACCAATCCTGATATAAAATTTGTTCAGGTACTCAAATATTTGTTTAGATTTTTTCTAGCTATTACGATTGAGAAGAAACCTCAAAAAGATAACTATTCTAAATTTATGTTGTCCACACGGTTTCTCTGATTGCTATTCAAGTGTAATAATTAATAACTATACATGGAAAAATCAGAGTTATGAAATATTGAAAAAAATGCTGTTTTTTTTTGTTGCATTCTATTCGCTTTTTACTCAAAATCTACTTTTAAAGATAAAAATCGAAATGTCTTACCTGAAAACTTCGACCGATTGAACTGGAACCATTTTTTATGGCAAATTCGATTAAATTGGGATGTAGTATGTTTTTTGTTTGAAAAAGAATATTGTATCAATAAACATTGAGAAATTTTACAAAATTTGCATTAGTCGAAAAATACTCAAAAATCAAGTTTTTTTCAAGGGTGTTCCCGATTAAATTTTGCAGCAATAGCGTAAGGAAAATTTCAGGTCATTTTTAGTCCTTGCGTCCATTATATTACATAGAAGAGAGCAGTTCGGAAATTTTGAGTCTAGGACGATTTTTCTCTTCTCTTCTCATCGAGATCTATTTCTGCTTCAAAAGCTTTAAAACTTTTTATCAAACCAGGAAGGAATACTTTTAAAGAATTGGTAAAAAAATAATTATGTTTTTATTTTCAGCCGATGAAGAACAAATATATACAAATTCAAGTTCTAGCTCAAAAGTAAATATCCTTTTTAAGTTTATACGGATTTCAAATAAACTATCATTTTATTGCAGTTTGCACAAGCAACACCTCCTAATCGACAAGCAGTTGAAATAGCCAATAGAGAAACGATTGAAGTAGTTAGCTCATTTAAGGTTGAAACTAAATTCTTTTTCAAATCTTTTGATTGGATGAAAAATAGATTTTGCTTTGGTTTTTTTAGAAAAGTCTAATAACGACATACAATGCATCTGCACATAGCTTTATTCGTCGAAAATTAGCAATTTCATTATTTAAACTAGAGAATCCGCATTCGAGTAAAGTTGGTGATAATTATATTGATCAAACAATTGATCAAAAAATACGTCATTTAAAACAGCATGATAATGGAATAGATGTCCCTCGTACAGATGATGTTTATATTGAATGTTTAATACGATCGAATTTTAGTGACAATGAAGCACTTCAAATGTTACGTCATAATCGACCAAATCTAGTAAATTTTATTTCAACAAATTTAAGATTTAAAAGCAAATATATTGTTTAGACACAACCTACTGTACAACCTGTTTCAAATCAATCGACTAAGATATCAATAACTGATTCGGTGCAGCATTTAAAAGAACATAGAAATTTATTGAATAGATATAGGAATGAAAATAATTTAGCACAACAATTGTTACATGATGATGATGTACGTATTAGCTTTCATTAGTATTGATTCTTTTGATTAGTTACTCATTCATCATTTATTTTGAAACAGTAACGAATAAATCCCTAGACTGTTCATTATAACAAGAGAAAATTTTCAATCGAGATTTAGTAAGTCACGATAGTTCAATGACTACATTGTTCGATACATATACACAAAGTAGTATGTGCAAACCTTAGTACCATCAGCCATAAATGATCCTCGACAAACCACGAACGGTTATTTGTCTCGGATCACCTGTTCGATAGCACGCTAAGTATTTTGTGACATATTTGATCTTGTGCTTCATTAGTGTGTATGCAGAGCTCAAAAACTCTGTCCCAGGTCGGTATTCTACCCAGAACTACAGGTAGTCATAGTTGTAGGAAATATGTCAGACTATTGAATCTGCCGTTAGGTAGTATTCCATACTGCAAAGTAACTGAAAGAGGAAGGGACTATTATTCTGCTTTCAAGACCTTCTCAGAATAGATTTTTATTTAGTTGTAAGGAATAAACAAAAGTGTTACTATAATATTATTCGAATTTCTTATTTCTATAATCATTTGGTTTTTATTCAGCCATGGAGAAATGCTCAGCATCTCATACCAGCGATTCAACAACTTCGACGAAAAACTGATGGCTCAAAGATAGATGAAACTTCTTTCTCGGTACAATAAAAACAAAGTTCTTTATATGAACCATTTTTCTACGCTTCTTTGTTTTTTAGAAAATGTATCGTTTACTCTATTGTGAATTATCGAGTATAATTGGTCGACAAGTACCTGTCAAAATTGAAACATTTGCATCAATTCTATATGAATTATCAATGGAAGCTATTGAAAATCTTGATATAGCTGCCATAAAAAATACTTTACGTTCGAGTAATGATTCACAATTCTCTGATAATTTTCGAGCCAATGCAATTAATTCATTATCAATGGCATGTCCAATATGTCTTATTTCTTTTCCACGAAGTCAAATGGAAACTATGTTTTTATGTGATCATATATGTTGCTTAGAATGTCTTAAAATTTATTATCGAAATACTATAAATACAATTCAAGATTCTAAATCATTAAACAAATTAACATGTTTTCTCGAACAACATCAAATAACAATTGATACGAAAATGAACTTTTTTATATATTTAGAAGCAAAAGTATGTTATAATAATTATACATAGTTATTGACATAATATAAATTTCCTTTTATTTAGCTCACTCAATGGTTTCATGATGAACCTGATATTCTTAAAATGTATCATGATAAAATATTTTATGCTACACGTGATAAGCAAACTAAAAAGTGTGGTAATTCGCACGTAAGTTCTTTGATTTATTATGTTTTTGTTTAATTTGTTTTAATATATTTTATTATTTTTGTAGTGTGTCAGTTGTTTTTATATTGATGATAATAATGATATTGGTCGTGTTGTTTGTCCTCATTGTCAATTTGCTCAATGTAGACAATGTTGTCGAAAAGTGTGTTATGAACATTGAATAATCATATTCAAAATGAATCGATTTCTTTTTCTCTAGTGGTGTCCTGATCATGCTTCATTGTCATGTGATCAATATGCCGAATGGTTAATAGACAATGATCCTGATGATCCCAATGTACAAATTTTCAAATATTTAAGTGAAACTGGCATTGCATGTCCAAATCCAGCTTGCCAACTTATTTTTGACTAGTAAGTTGAATATCTAATAAAGAACGATTTATGTAATAGTTTATTTGATTTATAGTCAAGCAGGAGGCTGTGAACATTTTACCTGCACAGAATGTAAAACAGAATTTTGTCGGATGTGTTCAGCATTATTCTATTCACCGAAGAAAAATGTAGTAAACAGAAGTATATATAGATAATTAATTATAGCAATATTTTAATGCTTAGATATGCCCACAAGCTAATTGTAAACTTAAGGGTACGATTCATGCACATTGTACTCTAAACTGTTTTCGTGAAACTCGTATTGGTCAAATAGATGTTATTATTAAATTTCTCAATGTCTGTATTATTTTTTATTTGATCATTCTTTATATTATATTGATCATTGTCTTTTTCTAGGAGCATAACATTAATATAAAAAAAGAACTTCACAAGAAGGCAGTGTCAACTAATAATATATGCCCAGTTGAAGATTGTAAAGAACCAGCATCATCCATCGCTGAAAATCGATTTTGCGCGTATAAAATCTTTATTTATTTATCTTTTTCGATTGTTTAAGTTATATTTGATAGAAATTGTTATAAACAATTTTTGTGTTCACTTATTTGGCGTTATGAAATAGAACCATGGTAAATCGATTAAAAATAAAATATCTATGATAATTATTTTTTTTTAAAGGGAAATATATGAAGATAATAATCTTCAACAAATGCTTATCAAAGGATCCGTTATTATACCAGCAAATGCAACAAGACAAAATTTAATAGAAGTATATATAAAAATTTGTAATTATGCTTTGCTTATTAGTTTCTTTTAGTTGTGTCGACAAAATTTAAATAATTTATTAGGTAGACCAAAAAAGCTAACAAAACCAAGAATTTTATGATAATTGATCTATACAAGACTAAACAACAACATCTAATTCAATCAGATAATAAATTTTTATATTTATATTTATTTTTAATCATTAATTGACCTGTTTGTGATTATATGTAAAAATATCCAATAATAATTGAAATGTTTTTCTCAGAATAAATGATGCGATATATTTGTCATTGTTTTATTTTGTTAATTTTTACTCTAATTTTTTCTTCTATTGATAATAGAATGTTACGAAGAAGAAAACAAAAGATAAATATTTTCATGGTATGAGAATCTTGCAAAACTGAGTGTTTTTAGCTTTGAATTCTATGTTAAAACTAGGTAATGATTGAAGTTTTTTGTGAGATTCACTATCAATTACGATATGCATGAATATTTCTGAAAAAAAAAATTATTTTTAAAATTTTATTATAAACGCTTTTTAAAATGATTATTAACCTTGTTGTTTCTCTTTTTCGATATTTATTGGGTTTTATAAGAAAAAAACAAAAACCTAGACGAATAATGGCTACTGGATACAGTGCTGGTACAAGTAGACACATTGGTTTTTCAGCATTCTCCGATCAGATTATGGTAAGGTTGATTTATAACAATAACTTTATCAAAGTAGGAGAAGAAAGTGGAGAAAACAAGTGAGCATGAGAACTCCCAGAAGGGAAGATAAGTATGTATATACAGTGAGTACGAAAATGTTTCAGCAAGGTTTATTTTTAATATCTTTGTACTGTTGTAGGTGTTAGAAAGAATCCAAATAGTAATTCGAATAGAGAAAATTGTTTATAAAAAGAAATTAAAATTATGATCAAGTTTCCAAAGATAAGGACTCCAGAAAACCAAAATGTTAGTTTTTCAGCACTGAGAACGGGTAAATATAATTTTGTTTAGAGTACATAGAACGATAGAACAAACACTCCTCTAGAGAATAAGATGTATTCAAGTTCTCTGCGGCACTCTTGAACCAAGATATAGGAATCTTACGGCATCCTCTAAAGTCGTTTTTTTCTGTTTTCCTACGGAAAAATAATTTTTTGACCTCCAATAAAACTGTTGTATCATAGCTAAAAAAATGTTGCAGAGAACTCAGAGACGCCTCCTGTTGTAAATTATATTTAGCGGTTCTAGATGTTGCAAAACTAGCTTTTTAGTTTTCTGGAGTCTTTGTCTTTGAGGATCTGATCATCATTTTGGTACTCACGGTATATATATATATATATATATAGGATAACAACAGTCAGATACATCACTAACATATATGACAGGAAAAGATTAATCCATTTTTAACCTTAGATAGATACTTCATGTTTGGAACTAGTAAAATTTCTTTCGAGAAAACTGAACCGGCGAAAAACCAAGCTAGTTCTTTCTAGAAAAGGGCTGCAGTTCCATGAAGACATATAATATGAAATTTCTATAATTCTTGGAAGTTCTAATTGAAAACTTTCTATTTTACTCCGACAAGTTTCATATACACGAATATAGAAACGAAAGAAGAACTCTTTCAAAACTTCTGATGTAGTAATTCACATGAACTGATATTAAACAGCATCTAGGTTTTGTTTTGTCTGACTTTTTTCAATGAAGATATGTTACATTATCAGAAATTTATAAATTTGATGTTATCTTCAGTATTTTCTCTTTCGGAGTGTTGATTTAAAGCTCCAGGAGGGTCAACACGATTTTCAAAAGAGTATCGCTCCTTCGGTCTCCATGCAGAATAAAACACTGCATAACGGAAAGGCTTCTCGATTCGTATAAGACTAATGCTACCGATAAAAAACAGAACGAACCAGTATGTTCAGTTTTTATGCTAAACGTCATATTTTCAGACTTCTTAACACGTAGGTATTTCATGGTTATGTGAAGCTATTAAGTAGTATAACTTTTGCAGTAGAAAAAAATCTTTTCTAATATTTTGTAATGAAAGTATGAACTGACAATTACAAGCTATTGAGAATTCCTAGTAGTCAGTTAAAATTAGTTCAAAAGAATGACGAGCTAGAACTTTGATGACGATTAGAAATTCTTCAGTCATTAAAGAAACTAGTTTAAGAATTTCACATTTTTCTCGATGTTCTTTTCTCTATAATTTATATAATCTAATGAAAATCCTTTATAGCCTAATCAGCAGTCAACTAATGCCAACGATATGACTCTTAAAATCGTCGATGAATTTAAGGTAACGTTTGATATTAAAAATCATATTATTTTTAATGTAAAAAATCTTATTAATCTAGCATATTGTTCGAAACAAAGTCAGACAAGGACACACAATAACTCAACCAATTGTTGAGTTAGAAGTTGCCAAGATTAGACGTGAATATGATCCTGATCAATATGATGTTGAAGAATTGAAGAAACAACTTCCGCGTGATCTTCAAAATTGTTCGGAGAGTATTTTACGTGTATCAATGGCATATGGCAATGATCCACAACAAATAGAATCTATAATACAATCGAAAATGAATAGCATAAATTTAAATGATAATGTTAATTCTATTTCACTCGATAATATTATAGAACCTTTAATAAAGCTCAAAAAAGACTTAAAAGAAAATCCTCTAAAAGATATATTTGGTGCTGTTCGCAATATCAATGATCGTAATACTGATGTAAGGTTTTTCTTCAAATTTTCGTTCACAAATAATCGTTTAAAAGATGAAATTTAAGATGAATTCATTTTTTAGAACTTTAATTTTATCTATTTCTTTTATAGTACGATAATATTTATTTGATTATTTTGTTTTCCAGCGTGCCGATCGTTTATTTCTCAGTGAAGTTTATCATTTCACTCCTGCTATACGAACCTATAAATTTGACGATGCTCATAAAGCAGTAGAAGCCATTCGTAGTACAACATATGAATTAGAGAAACCAGAAGATCTTCTTCCTATTATCAAAACATGTCAAGAAGTTGATGAGATTCGTGACCATCTAAATGAGAAATCAAAAACGTCAATGAAAAAAGTAAGTTGTAAATTATTTTAAAGTCCTAGATCAAACAATGGGATGATAAAATCTTACAGATACACTAACGAGAGAAGTCTCCCAACTGATTAATCTTTGTTTTATTCGAGAATATTCTCATCATGTAGACTCTAATTAGATGTAAATATCTTGAAAAGAATTCAGATGTTTAGCTTATTGCTGTAGAGATACTGTAGCAATATAGTATTTTTTGACTGAATGCTGTAGTTCTCCTCAAGAACATTGGAAAAATTTATTTTCGAGTTTTGACTTGACATTTTGCACAGAGATCAATCTTAGCGCGAATATTTTATCGTGATAGTCTTGGATTTGTTGATTGACTCCTACTCTGACATAATAATATCGAATTTTCCAGTGTGTATGAGCAATCTAAAAGGCATGCTTTTACCATACTAGTATCATAGGATAAGAACAATGAATATATCAGAAATTTTCACAATAAACTATTTCTATTAAGACTTACCTCTATACAAACATAGGTGAAAAAAGCAGACAATAAGATTGGTGACAGATTCTGATACGTTCGAATCAGATCTTACTTCAAGATCATACAAAACATCGTGATTTCAAAAATCTTACATCAAGCATAACAATAAGCTACGTATAAGATTCGACAATATGATTTTATATGGTCATAGAAGATTGTACTCTTGAATTTCACCATATATTCTCACTCAGTTGAAATAATTCACAACTCCTTCAATAATTATTCAATGAACGTGATTGAAGCGCTCAGTTCAAGTTAAATACACAACAAATATGCATAGATAGCCATTATTGATAGTCATTACACTTAACTCAATGCAGGCATACATTTACGCCTACATCTTTATACCAATATCCGTAAAATTAGACTCTGAAAACTATACTCTTAAAGCTACCTCGTTAGATCTATACTAGTACACTTGCATTCTTTTACCTGTATTCTCATCGTGAGAACAGTTTGTATTCTGTTTTCGTCAGCACCATTATATTCATATACTCACTCCGATGCCTTTTCTGATTGCTGTTTACGATAAAGAATTTTAAGTTGAAATTATGTCTACAGGTACGTTAGATAGTTATGAAACTTCCAACGAAAACGAACATGTCTTTCTCGAAAGAGGGCATAATAATCAAATCCTCTAGAAAATCGTATATGTCGAGAGAGACACACTTGTTTTTGTTGAAAGTTTCATGACTTTCAAACGTACGTGCAGACATAATTTCAGCTTGAAACACTATGTTTTGGGTTTATCGAAAATGTCTTGTCCTCAATAAAAATTTCATTAAAACAACCATCATTCTTAAATAGTAGACCATGGTTGAAAATCATTTTAAGCCTCTCTTAGTCTTACCAAGACTTACTCGTAGCTTTAATGTAATGTCGAACAGCATACAACAGTTGAATACATTTCCTTGTTAGAAGATCTTACACCTAATTTTTGACCTGGATTATCAAAAAAATATTTTTAGAATGAACCATTAACAGTAACAACAACGACATCAAGGTTTTCTCATGATGACCGTCATTCAAGTGTCCCTACTGGCATGAATGACCGAAATCGCTTTAATGAGAATCGAAATCCACCATCCCCTCGCAGTGCTGTGCAGGATCTTCGTCACAATTTTCCTCCGTACTCAGGTAAAAAGATTTATATGCTTTTTATTCACTAATACAAAAATCTTATAGATTATTCTTACCATTTAGATCGTCAAGTAAACAGAGCTGCGGACAGATGGAATGACAATCGAAGTCAAGCGTTGCACCACGATTCTGTTCCTAATCTTCATCAAGAATTTCTTCGAAATCCAGGTAAAAAGACTTAATCTCTCTCGTCAGGCTCACGCAATAGAAGATTCCCGAATTTTTCTAGTATGAATTTCAATGCATAAAAGATCGAATATCATTATTCCATTTAGTTAGTTCACTATAATTACGTTTCAAATGTAAATAAAAAGAACTACAATTAAATTTCATTTTTTCATAAATTGATCTAAACTGAACTGTTTCGTTTTGCTATTTAATAAATAAGAGTTCTTAGGTTTTTCGACCATCATTTTCTTAATTATATTCTTTTTTTCTTCATTATTATCATAACTGCTGTTTTTTAATTCTAATGGATGATATGTTGATAAGCCTACTAATTCCTTTTTATGTTCATCAATGGTCGAAGTTATTTCAACACTTAAATCATCATTAGAACTATCATAATTATCAAAATTTGATTTTTCATCATCACAAGGAAGTGCAAGACGATGTTTCTCCATATTTTATATGTTCACTGAATATATATTAGTACTTATACAAATGAAACTTATTTAGTAATTGCTCTCTTCTCCTCGCATCATATATAGCTCTTTCTTTTACTAAAGAAAATATATTCCAGTTATGTATAAATAAACGATTACTTTCTATTCTTTTCTTTCGTAACTTTTATTCTCCTCTAAACACGTTTCAGTAATAATTCAATGAGAGAAAAAAATTAAAGCGATTTAAAAGAACATTTTTGTAGAACTCGCATATATTTTTGACGACAGTAGTAAGCAGAAATTTTAAGTCGATGTTTCGCGGCTCTCCACGTCTGTATTACAAATTTTATCAACTAAGAACAACAAGTATCAGACTTTTTTTCAGAGTTCCTTAGCAACAGAAAAAGGGGCTGACTGGTATCAGCGACAGGACTTCAACTGTTCTAAAACACTCCTAAGCTTTCTAACAATTGATATCAGTGTTTATGAACTTATCAGGATAAGTGTTGAGAAGAGATCTACGGAGCCAAATTTCATGATCCTGGCAATTTCTTTTTCCTATGATGGTGGTAGAGTTTTATTTTTGATTCCGAATTCCGCATATCTATGACGTTGAGACCTACTGTAGATAAAATGGATACGTACAACGGGCTTATTAGCTAATTAAATCAATGTTTAAAATAAAACTAATGTGAAATTAAGAAAAACGGGATACGAAAATGAAAAGCAACAAGGCAAACAAAGAAGAAATTGTCAATAAAAAAAGAAAAATTTTCTGTTCGAAATGCAGAAATAAATAAGAAAGATCATCCGTCTACCGATCGATTATCCTTGGAAAACAGCTATAGTCTACTAGAAATTTTTCACACTACATATTTTGTATTAGTGTAATAAGGTTCAACAGAACATATATGAATTCCAATTTTCAGTCTTAAATAGAGACTGCGTTGGCAAGTCTTTTTTCACTAGACTTAAATCTTCTAATATGTGAAGGATTTCCATGCTTTTTATTCAATAATACTAAATACTATATATATTATTGATATCATTTAGATGGTCAATTGCACAGGGTTAACGATCGATCAAGAGATAGATTCACTGACAGTAATCGTAAAAAAAACTTTAATTTATTATCAACAATTTTTTTAATATATTTATTATTTAGATTCTACAAGTCGTGATGACGGAAAAAAATAACTGTTAATTTTATTGTGATAGAATGGTTTTTTTTTCTTTATTAAATTTTTCTTTTGTTTTATTAATTTCTTTAAAAAATTAAAATTCTAATATCAGTCACGATGTGATGGATTAAAGAATATCACAGCTGCATGAATAAATATAAAAGAAATTAATATCCATAAATAATTCATAGAGTACGAACAAAAAAATTGACTAATTATTGCTAATAAAATTAAAATACTTCGATTATATTTTAAGAGACTTAATTTTATTGTTTGAATCAATTGTATTTGTGATTGATTAAATATAAATCGAAGATAAAATGTTAATAGACAACAAATAGCAGATAAAAATGATGGATCTGGCATCATTATATATAATGGATATAAACCTTGAACTATAAGACTTTTTACATGAACAATAAAACCAGTTAAATTAAGAATAACAAGAAGACCATGAAATAAAATTAATGTTGTTAAAATTTCTCTTAAACGTCGATTGATTGTTCCACGCCAAACTGTATGTAATACAGCTATTACAAATAATGTCATATGACCTTGTGAACCACTAAATATTATTGTTGCAAATAAAGGCATTGATAACATAAACCATTGAAATAAACGAACAAATCGTAATTGTTGATTTAATTCGTTATATAAATGAATTAATAATGAATATAATAGACGACGAATAAAATCTAATATTAAATAATCAACTATAAATGAAATTAGAGCCCATAAACTAAGTGCAAGAAAATAAACAATTAATGGTAAGAAGAAAAAATAATAACCATTTGAATGAATATCCACAACAAAATTTAATGATGGAAATAAATAAATTATGATTTTATAAAGTATTGTTATTAATATAGCTATTGGTATATGTATTTGCCATGCAAGCATTGTTTGATATGTACGAAGTGCAACATCATTTACTTGAAGTAAATATGATATACATAGAACAGTAAACAGAAATGTTGGTAGTAAATATATATAATAACGTATTAATTGTGATAATATATCAAGAAATGAATAAGTTATTTGAAGATTATATGAAGAATTTGAATCAAGAAAAAGTTCAAGTGAAGGATATTTATCAGTTGTTAATGGAGGTGGTCGATGAAGTTTTAAACGCATTTGACGATAAAGAGATTTTGGAAGAACTGATGATGGAGATGAAGGATTACGTAATGTTATTAAATTATATAGATCTTCATTTGACCATGGAACATGAAAATGAATTAATGGCATTTTTTGATTGTTTGATGATAAATAAATATTATAGACTTGCCAAAGATGAACAAGTGTTGGAAAGATAAGTTTTACGTAACCAGTTTTATTGAAAGATAATGTTTGTGAGCCAAACCTTTTAAACAGAAAACAAAAAAAAACGCTAGAATTAGAAATAATTCATGGATAAACGAAATTGTCAAAAGAATATTATCAACTGTCTATTTGTTATTTCATTTTGTATTTTAAATATCGCAACCGAATATATTTCAGTCAAATTGCCTTGTACATCTTCAAAGTTACATTAGACTCGAAGATTCTTTTTACAATTTTATAACTGAAATATAGACGGTGATAGAATCACTAAAAATAGATATCGAATTTGAGTCTTGTTTAATGAACTGAACAAGTTAGCTTAACTAAAGCCGCAAAGAAGAAACATTCTCAAGAGATGTTATACTATCCATTCCAGAATATAATGTGTTCCAGTGTTTTTTTTTTGAATAAATTTTGAAAGGAACATCATATAGACCTGCGATTTTCACGATTCCAGAGATAAGACTTGCAGCCATCGAAATTTGATTGGTCAACAATTAGTTACTCAGATGAGTTCTTGGTGGAAATTTTTAAAAACAATATACTGAAATTATTTCTCTTTCGATCTATACAAGGCCAACATTTCTAGTTTTTTTCATTCGAGAGTTGTTAAACTTCTTCTGAGAGCTTGGGTTTCAGCTCATTGACTTGTGATCCTCCGCAAAAACAACTAGACAGGAATAATTCACCGTACTAATTTGAATGGTGATATTGACTTTGAGGTTTGAGATGCTAAGACAATTCGTCGCAGAGCATATATTAGTTTTAAGTATCCTAAAGGAATATTAACGGTAGATTTTGGTGAGTTTCTTTTTTGTGATGCTTATAACTTTTTAAGTGAAGATCGTAGAAGACGCGGTAATCTCTCTTGTTACTCAGGATTTTATGTTCTTTACTATGGTACTGTTCAAAACTAATTCTCATAAAGAATTTCATTGGCTATTCAAATCAGTATTTGCAATCGAATTAAATACTTAATATCATAGAAAAAAATTCAAAAATACATTGTTCTTATATTTTTGTCCAGTATTGTATACTTCAAGACATCGTCATTATATCAAGTATTTATGCTCATCCACTTGAACTTTTATTACTTATCAAGTAATAATCTCATTAGCCTTACATATATAAAAGATGAGAATTTCTTTATAGGTTTCTCTACTAAAAAGAAAAAAAAATAGATGTGCTCATACAAGATATTTTCATGACAAGCAAAATTCGTTCAAATCAATGTGACTTACGTTGAAATTTCAACTATTTGTTCATTATTTTCGATTTGATATACATCAACTTGAGATTTTTTATTTTCAAATTGAATAAGAATCGAATCATATTGTTTTAGATTATCATCTATTTTTTTAATATCAAATTGAATCATTTTACGATCACTATAAGTTGGTGGAATAGGTATAAGAATATTTGTTACATCCGTAGTAATATCATTATTTTTTAAATAAATTCGAGTATATGTTGAATGAATAATAATTCGATGAAATTTTGACTCTTTTAATGGAATTAAATAATCATTTTGTTCTTTTCCATGAATTGATCTACTTGATTCTGTGATTAGAATAGGTTCTTTTTTTAAATTTAATGTTGTATTTAATCCAAGATTAAAATCAACAGATGGAGAAAAATGTCGTTTAAGTATCTAAAAGAAAAAAAACCATAAATCAATAAACAATTAATTATCATTCTATATTTTTTACTAAAAAACAACCTGCATAATTGCTTGACGATTTTGTTTTTTTTCTTGAATAATTTCAAGTAATGCACGTGTTGTCGTCAATACTAATTGTCTACACCAAACAATACAACGATGATCAGTTGATGTCCATACATGTGGTACAGCACTTGTTAATACATCAATCGATCGACTTTCATCAGTAAGACCATTTAATGAACATAGATCACTTCGTACAAGATGATCTCTATAAAAGAAAATTATTTATGATTTATTTAATGTTTGTCAAAAAGTATTCTAGCTTCCAAAAACGATAGTTTATTTCAACTCGAGTTTTTTTGCTTTTTGTGAATGTAAGTTTATTCGAATATTTATGTGTAAATGATTTGAACTATTTGCATACTTCAGAGATATCCAATACGCCTAACAGTAACCGAAAAAAAGTATTTTTCGTCATATTTGTTGTTCTATAATAATTTCTTAAAAAATAGAGCTTCGACTTTGAACAGCTGGTATATTTAAAGCACGGTTAGCCAGCGAATAAATAAGAAGAGAGGTGAAGGAATGAAGCGGCTACCCCACAACGAGTCACATTTGCCGTTAGGGCGCGGACCGCTTGCGTACACATCTCTTGCATACTTCACTACTGAGATATAACTTGAGAGTGTGGGTCAGAAATGTTTACAGGCTAAATTGTTTTGATTCAACACGTTCGAGCCTTGCTCGAATTGAATATCTGATGGGTCACAGACTAAATATTTTAACGTGTACTCGCACGTTCGACCTGTTTACAAATTTTGTTTATCATCGTTCATTCTTTCGTTCTGCATATAAGTTACGTTCGCTGTGTGTGAGTTCCTTCGTCCTTCCACTGATTTAGGCCTAACATAGAAAGCTGAGTTATTAGTTTTATACTAGTCGAAGTTTTATCTGCTATATTAATATTTTATCTATGAACATATACTACTACTTTTACTTTACAATTTTTTTGAAAATATATATTCAGAAATATAAGATAATATTCTAATGACTTTATAACTATAAATATATTCCTAATAAAATTTGTATTAATTCGCGAATTAGCCTGTAACGCAGAGCTGGGCATTTCCATGGAAACAATTCAATTTGGGACCCCTAAAACTGTCCACGTAATTTGTGAATTACTAGGGAATTCACAAATTACGTGGACAGTCTTAGGGGTCCCAAATTGAATTGTTTCCATGGAAATGCCCAGCTCTGCTGTAACGGCTTCATGACTTTCAACGCATAAAATACACGACGAGTTGAAGAAAACAAATCATTCAATCTGTGNCAATTCAACTTGGGAACCCTAAAACCGTCCACGTAATTTGTGAATTACTAGGGAATTCACAAATTACGTGGACAGTCTTAGGGGTCCCAAATTGAATTGTTTCCATGGAAATGCCCAGCTCTGCTGTAACGGCTTCATGACTTTCAACGCATAAAATACACGACGAGTTGAAGAAAACAAATCATTCAATCTGTGAGGGGAACCGGCGTTCAGATTCGAACGATATACAATTATCTACGGAAAATTCCGAGTTATAATAATCTATTGAGTCTAAGATTTAAAATAATATTCGATGATGTGACTTTTAATGCAAACTAATTATTAAAAAAATAAAATTTTAAAACTTTACCTATCACCACCAGCTAATGATACAAGAACAAGATGTTTAAGTGAATTGTTCCATTCATTTTTCCAATATTCATTAACACGAGAATAAAACTTAATAACATAACTATCTGAATGAATAACAGGTGCTTGATGAGGTGTTGCTTGTGTTATAATAAGACGAACAGTATTTGGATTAAAGCGACTTGATGCTTGTAAGAAAACAGCACCTATATATACAGATATTCTCATAAATAAATTGTTTTTTTTCAAAAGTTAATAAATCTTACGTGACAAAAGACCACCAATAGAATTTCCTACAAGAATAATTGTTCTATTTATTTTATATAAAGATAAAATCTTTTGAATTGAATGAGCAACAAATTCAGTTTGCTGTTCTAAAACACCACCAAATAAAGCTGAAAGTTCTTCATTAAAATCAATTGAAAAGAAATCTAATTGTTTCTGTTGAACACCCATTCGATAAGCAACTGAACCAAGTGAACGAACTTGACGATAACTATCAGCATTACCAACAATAAATAATACAGGAAAACCTTTTGAAAAAAAAAAAAATTTTACAAAAACTAACAAAAAAAATCAATTGGTTTTTATACCAGTAAATTGATTTCGTCGATGAGCTTCACATCGAATACCTTCACAATAAGAATAGAGTCCATAACGAGGATAGCGCTTTTCAACATCTATTGGTAATGCTATTCGATGATAAATTGGATTTTCAAACATATATGTCATTTCTAAACGAAGAATATTAGAATTTCCTGTTTTTTAATTTTGCTTTCGCTAAAAATTTATTTACCACAATAATTTGATTCATGTCGATATAAATAACCATAAAGTCCCAGAACAAATAAAACAATGGTTATTAAGAAAAAAAGATTTTGTAGAACTAGTATAATTGTACGAAAAGACATTTTGAAAATAACACAAGGTGAATATCGCAGTTTATATTATATATGCAACCTTGCTTAGTATCTACGCATGAGCGATTGTACGATTTGTTTGTGTGTGTGCATCTGTATGTACATGTAACCTGAAAGAGATGATGAATCATCAATATCATTGAATTTAACCATTCAGTTTTAAAGGCGCTATATGCTGGTAAATAATTCTTGAAAATTTTAATATTAATTTACTTCAAAATTTACTGGTTCATATCAATTGATAATATGAAAATTATTAATCCAGATATGCTTGAAAGTCTTAGCTTATTGAGTTATTCGAAATCTTGCTTATTTTAATTGCTTTTTATTTTGACACTTTAGCATTTCAGCATCTTAATAATTGATATTCTCATTTTTTGTTGATAGTAAACTTTGTAAAGATCGACCTTCTAATAAGATCATCGACATAAGGATTATAACTTTACAATACTCTCTTTTCTATTCTGTTAATTATTCCAACAAAGATATGTAATACTACTATAAAAGAAAAATCTTTATTCTCTACATTTACTTTGATTAGTTGGTCTCACTGCATCTATGAGACGATATGACTTAATAATTATGAAACAAATGGATAAATTAACTGAACTTATATGTATAAATGCCAACAGACACATCCTGCTGCTTACTAACGACAAATTAAAGTCTAGCATACTGTGTCTATTAGATGATAAACTATTGGAATCTTTCTAAATTAATATACAAACAATAAACGAATATGTCCAAGTCTTGCACTTGAACGTAAAGATAAAAGCAAAAGTATTTGGACAACTGGAAGAATTATGAGTGACACTATTATTGAATATATTAAGTAGAGTCAATTGATAAGAAATATACATATTGACAGAAAGTATCATATCTATATTTTTTTTTTGTATAGTATTTATATTAACCCTTCAAGGCATTGATAACGAGAATTCTGTCTAAGAAAAACGTCATAGCCATATATTGTCCGTAAAAAGAAAGCTCATTTTAAATGTTCTTTAGAAACATGAATTATACTCTCAACAAGAATGAACGATTTTTTTTTCTATTATGTATGTCGTTTTATCAGGATAAAGTATTGCATAAGTACTTTTTAAACATAAAGGTGATCATATTTTTTTTTCTGCTCTCATGTGATTACTTTCATGACGACTTAACCTTGCTGAAAGTTGTTATTATTATTATTATTATAGTCGACTATGTGTTTTTGTATTCGTTCTTTACATGTAGGTACAAACCAGAAATATAGTGACAACTCTGATCAAAATTTTAAAAACTTTTTATTCCATGTTAGATATTGATAAATTTTTCTTTTGATACATTATTATAATATGATTAGTGAATTAGACGATTAAATTTGATTTATAATTATAGAAAACTTTCTATCCTGTACGTTTTGTTTTAGATGACGATTTCTAAGTTTTTAATTATTTAGATTAAAATGGTTGAATCTTCGCCTTTAATGGATCTAGTAGCTGTAAAAAATTCATCCGAACCAATGCCTAATAAAGGTCAAGGTTCTTTTACGGATCATTTAGCTAATGAACGTACATTCTTAGCATGGATAAGAACTGGTCTTGGTATATTTGCATTTGGTTGTGCTATTGCAAGATTTGGTGGATCGAATAATATTCAAACAACATTTAAAAATTCATTTCATGAAATGAAACCAATTATATCTGGTTTAGTTTTAGTTACTGCTAGTATTTTAATATTATTTTATAGTATTTATCGATATCATCGAATTAATCTACAAATAATACGAAGAGACTTAACAGAAGTTTCACAAATACGTGAACCAATTATTGCTACATTAGTTTTACTTTTATGTATGTTTGCTATTCTAATTATTTTTGTTATTTTATAATCATAGAATAGAATTTTATTATTAATGAAATAGTTTATAGAATTGAAAGAAATTTTGAATTTACTTCATATAAACAAACGGTATCTAATGATAGAATATTTATACATCTGTTGCAATAATTTATTTAATTGAAAATATTTGTTTAAGTTTGCATGTTATTTTTGAACACGTTTCAGGAACTAGAACATCCGGTTAAGTTTAACGAGAATCATGCAATGTTTTTGAAAATATCATTTAATTTTTAATTAAGTCTTTTTCTTTTCATATGTTTTAATAAAAATTTGATGTTCTTTTGGCATATTGCTACCTTGAAATTATCAGTTTATCTATCATAATCAAAATCAATAGAAATTAATAATATGAAATACATATTTTTTTTTTATTCTAAAAGAAAAATGAATTATAATAATGAAAATATACAATGAATCAATCTTACCAATATGTTTTATTCCTATTCTTTGAATATGTGTCAAATTATCAATATAAAATATTAGATGCTTGTGTCTTAAGATCCCGTATGGAGTTCATTTTTCATTTTCTTGACTGGTTTTTCTCGCCACATTTAAATTAGAATATTGTTGCACTACGATGCATATTAGCCCTATTTTTCCTGTTACAATTACTATGTATGTTTTTTGTCTATTCTCTTTGATGAATCCACGCTTTCTATCTAGAAAAGAAAAAAAAAGGAGCAAGTATACATTGTTGAAGCAATTCTATAAAAGATGTATTCTATTCTTGTTATTTTTTGTTTGTTTTGCGTAAGTGGTCCTGAAATAATCATTGAAACCGATATATAACATGATGAAAAGAAAACCTTCGACAATGTGTTAATGATCAGAAGCGGCTTCATTGTTTTCATCGATTGAAGGTATCCAGACATTTATGTAAATAAATAATATCATTTTTTCTTGCTACTAATTCATTCATTAGTAAATTAAGAATACTTATCTGTAGTAGATAAATACAAAAAAATAGATAATTCTACTATTTAGTTGAAAATTATTATCTAAATTCTATCATTTACTTTATTTATCAGAATTTATGACGATATTTAAACTAAAAAACAAAGTAATACAATAACTATTATATTATTTCTTCTTTTTTTCTTTTGACATCAAATAGTTAAAAAAAGAATTCTTTGCTTGCCCATTTCCTTTTCAACTTTTCATCAACACATAATTAGGGAATGGAGCATGCATATCCTTATATGATCAACAGAACAACATGTCACCTTATCTTTATAGAATATATATATACACCTTTTCCTGTGAAAATAAAAAAAAATTCTGACGGATATTTATCGCTCTATTCTTTCATAGAATTTCTAAAAAATTACCAAGAAAAAAAGAAGAAAGAAAAGAGAAAAGTCTATGTTTCATAGCAAAATGATTGTGGTTTATTTGCTTCTTCTTTTCATCTATTTCTCGTCGTCATTTAAATGTTAGGCAATAGCTGAGACCTGAGTAAGTACATGACAATGTATTCTAATGATTACTTCAATAGAATAATCTGCATAGAATAATAGTAATGTTCTGTATTATATAAATATATGTATATGTAATTTGAACAAGAGTAGATTAGTTTGAAAAATATCTACGTACATATGATAATAAAAGAGAAGAAAAAAAACGAGAACAATCCTCATGTATTATATTTATTGATCATGCCGTAAGTTTTTTTTCTGAGTATTGTCAATAGAAAAAGAAATTAGACAAACAAGAGTTATGTGACGTAGGAAACAAAATATGAGAGGGATTTACGTTTATTTGAACAATCTATAATTTGAGAATAGACTATGAGATATGAAACTAATTGAATTTACCGGTTCAAATAGCTATTCTATGTATGGTGTGATGTGTTGCATCATGAACAATGACATTGTTGAGTACTTCTTGAAGGAGTCTTGCGACAAGATGATCGTTTTTATAAGGAAAGAAGAGAAAGCGAATAGACTAACGCACATCCATAAAGAGTGATAGTGTCATTTCTTCTTTCTCTATCTCATCTTGTCCCGAAGCTGATATTGGATTTCATAATGTAACATGCACTTTGCCTTACTAGCATTTGCTTTCAGAAGTGAATTGATTGAATTAATCAAGCGCATGGGTTTTCTTTTGTCACATGATAATCTATAAAGGTTAACATAATCTACATCATTTTTGTCTATTTATTCCGTAACGAGAACGACAGAAGTCTATAGAATGTTTTTTAAATAAGTTATCCTTTTTTGTTTGTAGACATCACGAAAGCAATCTTAAGCAAAATGATTGTATGGTTCAAAGAAAATGAACATTTGTCTTATCCTTATTATTATATTATTAATTACTGGATGTTTATCATTGATTAATACAAGCAATTCTCTTGATAATAGTACATTAACAATGTTATTACTAACTACTATTCAATCATCAACATTATTAATAAATCAATATGCAAAATCTCGTTCATCTGTAAATTTTATTGATTCAACATTAAGTTTAACGAATGATTCTATTAAAAATAATATAAATTTATCAACGAATAAATTTCAAAGTATTGGTAATTCATTAGGATATAGTATAATGAAAGATGGATCGAGTAAGTACAAAAGAAAACATAAATGAGAGAAGACCAAAAAAAAAACAAATCTGACAATTATTATTTTTCTAGATTTAACAAAAACACAAATAAAAGTTATTTTAACTGTTGTGATTATCATAAGTTTTATTATGCTTATCATGGTTATATTTCGATTCAAGTAAGTCATTTGATATTTATTTGAATGAACACATCGATAGACGCGTGTCTCTTTCGATTGTGTGCACATGTTGCTTATTATGATTTGATTTGATCATCATTGAAAAAGATAAGACATTATTGTCATTTAAATTGTGATGATCGTCGAGACATCAACTTATTTATTCAACGAATAAAACATTTTGAATTCACGAGATTTGTATCCAGTTACTCATCTTATAAAAATAAGATGGATACATACGAGACAAATTTGTCATCTATTATTTTTGCTGATTTGTAAGTGTTATTTATCTTTTGTATAATAAATCAAAAAAAGAAAAGATAGTTAAAATTGATATAGGCTTTTAAGAAAAGAATTAAACAAAAAAAAAACGGTAGAATGAAGATTAGAATAGAATAATTGACACATATATATTTTCCTTTTATTTTTATGTTTTCTATTAATGATAAAATGAAAAGCATTCTTTTGTTCCACCTAACTGCTTTTTAAGAATTTTTCTTTTCCATCAATAAAATGTTGTTCTTCATAGCAAATAATAAGTTTTGATGCTTTTTTCAGGGTTTTATTGTTAAAAAATATTTTTTCACAAAGATTATTAAATAGATTCTAGATGTTTTCTTTCAATATGAAATATTTAAAATAATTCTCTTAATATGAGTGAAGCAATTTTTATAATTCACATAAAAAAATAAGAATAAAATTGTAAAAATGTTTTTTTTTTTCTTATGGAGAAAATCTTAATTTTTCTGTGATGAAAATAACCGACTATTAGTAAGTTATCTCTTTTTCACAATCTTTTATTGAAAAGAACTGTAAGTAGAAGCATACATATATATTTTGTCCTCGATATGAAGAGGAAAAAATTTCTATATATTAAATTCTTGAAAAAACTGGAAAGATGCTTTTTATGTTATAGGAGTGATTTATTGTGTCACTTTTTTGTATTTTCTACAGTAATATTTACCTTGTCATTAAACTGAATGTGTCATTTAAATCAAGGAAAAACATGCTCTATCTTATTCAAATATTTATAGTAAAAATAAAATCATTTTCTTTTGATTGATATGTTATTTAAGAATAACCATGAATATAGCTATTCTAAAAAATCCGTCTGAGAAACTTTAGCTTGAAACAAAAATTTACTAAGAGTTCATTGAATTCGAAAAAAATCTAAAAAAGACTCTAATGTGTGCTATTTTTAGAACTGCAGTAGGACCTTCTCTATTAGCTTTTTGAAAGATAAATTAAATTATAACCTTCTTTTCTTTGTTAATGGAAAGTTAAGAGATTAATGAATCTGAAATGTTAAAAGTTGAAGAGTATGAATACCATCTGTCTTCGAAGTGAACTTCAAAAGACATTAAATAATTCTCTTTCTTTGAACCAAATATAATTTTGTCTCACTGAAGAGATAAGAATTTTTTCATTTCATTATTACTTTTTTTCTTAAACGTTTGACTATATAAAAGAATGAAGTACAAATATTGATAATGTTTCTCTTTTGTTATTGAGTCAAAAACTGGATTCCAGTATATATTTGATACAGAAAACAATGAGGTCTTCTCGAAGCAATAAAAAAGACATGAATGAAATCAATTATTTTTCTTTATGGTCAGAATTGAAATATAATTGAAGATGTGACCATCCTTGCAATCATGAAATATATAAACTATTTTGTTGTTTCCAAAAAAATCTACGTCTAGTGATCAGTCACATACTAATTTGTAAGTTAATAAGAACTTTTCCTCGTGAAGAATTTAAAAAATGCTTTAAACAATATTGAGAAGCTCGAGACGCTTTATTATTATACTAACGAGGAAATCACCCGAACTGACAGTCATCATTTGAGCTTATATTGGGCCTACCAGGACGTATTAATGAGACAAACATAAGCCTAAAATAATTTGTTTTCATGGGCCTCTGAAAACAAATTGTGATTGTTTTGTCGTGTATACTCCTCGAAAAACTAAAGAGCAGAGTTTTTATGTGAAATTTTGTTCATGCATAGATCTAATGATTTATAGAATTTTTTGAAAGTTTCAGCCGAAAAGAATATTCTTTTATCAAGTTATTGAATTTTCAAATACACTTAATCTTAGTAATATGTCTATAGCAAACGACTATTTTTTTTTGCAAGTTAAGCATATCTCAACAAAAAGAAAATTCTAGTCGACTGAAATTTGCATGATATTTTACTGATCAGTTGATCTATATTGGTGGGCAAATTTTCAAGACGAAATAATGATTTTTGGAAGTTTCG